TTTCTTTCCTCGAGGAACCTCCGCGATCGTATGCCCATGCAGCCCCTCATCTTCGGATACAGACGGTGCAGCGCGGGCGCGTCAACATCCTGCTCGGAGGCAGTGCGGCGAACAGCCGTCTTCTGAGATCCTACAGCTCGCGGTGAGACACGTCCAGCGCCGCAGACCAAGGAGGGAGAGACACAACACGTACGCGTAAACTTCGTACATCCGCGGACGGTTTCTCCCCCTCCCCCCACCGCTGCACCGTAGGGGAGCCAAGGACGGGAGACTAGGTCACGGGGAGGGGGGAGCGAATGGTCTGCAATCTACGATACGACGCCGACAGATCAGCGATAGGCCCGCGATGGGGAAACCCCAAGGACCCAATCGGCGAGGATGGGGGAATAGGACTTGATAATCTCCTCTTCCTCCGCCTCCACCTCGTCCTCCTAACGCTCCTCCCCCTCCTCCTCCTCCTCACCATCATCATCATCATCATCATCACCATAATCCACCATCATCATCACCATCATCAGTATCAGCATCAAAATCAGCATCAGCATCACCATCATCATTATCAGTATCAGTATCATCATCATATTCATCATCATCATCATCATCAGCAGCAGCAGCATCATGCTCATCATCATCATCATCATCATCATCATCTTCATCATCATCATCAGCATAATCATCAGCATCATCATCAGCATCTTCATCTTCAAACACATCGTAGTCGCCATCATCATCAGCATCGTCATCATCACCATCACCACCACCATCACCATCACCATCACCGTCGTCGTCGTTCTCGTCCTCGTCATCGGCTTCATCAACATGATCGCCATTATCATCATCAGCAGCATCATCAGCATCATCATCATCACCATCACCATCACAACAATCGTCATCATGAGCATCATCATCATCATCATCATCACCATCACCATCACCATCATCATCATCATCATCATCATCATCATCATCATCATCATCATCATCATCATCAACATCATCGACATCAGCACCTCATCATCATAAGCATCACCATCCTCACGCTGATCCTCTTCCTCACACACTCCCTTGTTCCCCATCACACCCCGCCTTCACCACTACGCTCCTCATGCTCCGCCTCCTCCAGCTCCTGCTCCCGCTCTGCCTCCCACGCCTGTGCCTCCTCCTCCGCCGCAGCCGCCTCCTCCTCCTTTTGCTCCACCTCCTCACCATCCCTCTCCCCGTGCAGATGGCAGCCCGCAACCTGCGAGGTATTTGTTTGTGGGGGCGGACGCAGGGGGCAGAGGGAGGGGAGCGCGACATTCCAAGCCAAGAAGAGCAGGGGAGGAGCGAGGAGGAAGGAGGAAGAGGAAGGGCCGATGAGGGTGGAGGCAGGAGCGAGGAGGGGGGCAGGAGGAGGAGGAGGAGGAGCAAGATGAGGAGGAGGATGGTGTTGCATGTGCAGCAGGCTCATACGCTGTGGATGATACGTATGACACGGCCAATCACCACGAGGATAACTTGCTTGTGTGCGGAGTTCCCTGAAGCGGCGGCGCGTCCATGAATCGGCGGCGCGTTGCAGTGTACGATTAGCACGGCCCCGAGGATCCGAGCAAAGTTGACAACTTCAAACGGTTACTGTCGCAACTCCCACCTGTGTTTTTTCACGTTGGCCCAACGTCGCATTGTTTCGTGCGACAGCATCACGCCCAAACGGCCGCCGTGGCGGCGTTCCCAAAACCGCAGGTTATCCAGAAAAACGGCGCGTTGAGCAAAATCACGTCGGACCTTGTCATTCGCAGAGTGGTGCTCCGAAAGAGTTCCGTGCATACGGGAGGCAGATTCAGACCTTGATCGATTCATCTCTGTGCTTCTGCGTGCTCAAATCGTGGTCGGCATTCTCTTCCCCGTTCGATTCCTCCTGCTCCCCTGCCCATCCTTCTGCCCTTCCCCCTTCCCCGCCTCCTGCCCCCTGCTCCCGCCCGTCCTCGCTTCCCTCTTCCTCCTCGCCTCTTCCCCCCGCCCCTTCCGCCCCGCCCGCGTCAGGCGGACGACCGAGCGCGCCAGCAAACTTGAGGCGTCGCTTCTGGGATGTCTGTCTGGACAGGTATCTGTGTGAAGAAGCCATTGAGGACCTGAGCGGACGCATCCGGATAGCTCTGGATAGGGACGCCGCGGAATTCGCTGAACGGAAGCGGTCTGAGCTCGATAATGCGGCTGCGGATGTGTCGTTGCGTTGCAGGTACAACGCGTTACTGCCGCTTTACGAACCTCTCCGGTAGTCAGCTACCAACGTGAGGGGGTCTGCTGGTGCGCTCACAGTGTTTGCGTTCGATGCAAAGCGCGAGCTCTCCAAGCATTTTGCGGAACTGCTCGTGGGCGAACGCAGAAAGATGTCCGACCTTGTGGACGCAGTCATAGCGGATAACCTTGATTATGGTTCCGTTGTGCAAATCGACGCTGTTGGTTTCAAAATTGCTCCGAGTATGGTCGAAGTTGTTTCCAGTTTTGTACACCTGCGTCCTCTCATGCGAATTTCTGTAGATTGCAATGGGTCTGAGATGTTCCAAGCGGCGCCGCCAGATGGTGCAAGGTTGTTCCACCCGCTCGCGGTCAAGTCTGTCATTGCCGTGCAACCGCCCCTGCAGTGGAATGGCGGGCACTTGTTCGAGTTATATATATGTATATATATGGGGGCGAGGGCGCAATGACGGGAATCCTTTCTCATAGGGACGTCACGATATGCGAAGCTGCGTCTAAGGCGTTTTCTTGGCATGTGAGGGCCTGCGGAAGTGTCTGCTCGTGCGAAGGCCAGCTGGGAATTGCAATTCGGTGGAGGTCTGAACGGTAGTTCAAAGGAGCTTGCACATCTCTACATGGTCGCGTGGATGGATTATGTCCGAGCAAAGAATCGATTTGTTGGAGTCTTGTTCGTTGACTTGCAAACTGCATTTGCAAGCATTGCTCGCTTACTCGCTTTCCCAGCGCGCCCAGCCTCCATGGACGCTTTCGTTGCTCGTCTGTTCAAGTCTGGATACAGTGCCGAGGGCGCGGGTGCCATTTCTGAAAGCTTGCTTGGCTACGAGCATTGGACAGACAGCGGAAGCACGACACATTCCCTTGCAATGTCGAGCAAACTTCACAGGCAGTCGCGGCTCGCCGTCGAAGGGGTGGCGTGTTGCGCGGAGACTACTTCGGGCTCCCTTGCCGGTAATTATTTGGGGGACTTCGTCTGTTCGCTCATTTTCAGTCGCGTGATGCACGCCGTTGCAAATCGTCTCGCTGCCGCTGGGATGCCGCACGAACTCACAACTGAAACGCTCGTCCCGGGCTTCGGGACGGAGCCCGCGACAGGGTCTCAGGACGATGCGGCGCGCGTCGGCCCTGCTGGGTACATGGATGACGTCGTGCAGCCCCTCTGCTGCCGATATTGGTGAAAAGATGAGAGTGTGCACTGGCATATTTGCGGACGTTGTCTCCCGCCACGGCTTGGTCATCAAATTCAAACGGGGGAAAACTAAAACTTTGTTTCGGTTTGTTGGCGCTGGGTCAACGGACGCCCAACACGCCTGCTTGTTGATGGCAACGGTCTGATAGGCTTCGATCCCCATGGTGTTCAGAAACATCTGGTTGCCACGTCGCAATACAAACACGTCGGGACTGTTCCGTTTTCGACGGGCTCGGTGCACCCTGCAAAGACTGTGAACATTGGGGCCATGCAGGGGGGGTACAAGCAACTGCGTCACAGCTTGCTTCAGCGACGGAGCGTTCCTGTTGAGACTCGGCTTGCGTTGTTTTTTTTATGCGAGGCTTGCACCAATTTAGCACCTGGTCAGAGCTATATTCAGCTGATCTGTCAAGAGTGCACACAGCTGCGATGCAAGTATATTCGTCCGCGCTTCAGGGAAATGATGATGTGCGCTGGGCGCCGTCGCATGAGGCCACTGCGCAGTATAAGGGTCTCATCGCTCCTGCGATCATGATTCTCTACATGCGTTTACGCGTGTTCACGCGTATGTCTGCGCGTGCCGCGTACTTTGTGCGTCATCCTTTCGCATGCCATTGGTGTGCGCAGATCGTGGAGGCAGGCCGTGTCGGAGGATTTGGCGTTTCTGGTCTCACGTGCAGAAGCGTTCACCGATTGCCTGCCGCAGCCAATCGATCGGTGGATCACCGAGATCCGCACGCAACCCAAACGGTTCAGAGCCTGTTTGAGAGCTGCAAAGGTAGAGCGACAGATAAACCGCCCGCAATCGTTCCATGGGGGAAAACCCGCCGCACGGCTGAGATCAATCATGCCTTCGCTTGCCAGGCTTGTTCCTGCACGCGTGCCTCCCGGCAACAGCTGGCAACCCTTGTTTTCAACGTACACGGTGTCCGGCGCCGCACACGTGAGCTCATTGATGTGGCGCATAGTCCCGTTTGCATGCAGCGTCTTCACACTCGTCTGAGAGCCATTGCTAATCTTGAAGAGCGTTCGGAGAGGTGTCGTGCTGTCATCCTGGAGTGCTTACCACGATTGCCAGATACCGTCGATGCGAACCACGACAGGCGGGACGCGGAGGCCGCCCGAGGCCGTGCAAAGAAGGGCCAGAGACCGTGCCATGCGGACGCCCCTGCCTGTCGTTTGGTTGGGCCTTTGACCAGGGAGGCATACGAGGCTGGCTTGAGCCACATGTCCCCCTCCCACTCTTCCTCCTTCGAGTGAAGCTAGGTCGAGGCGCCTCCAGAGGAGTAACGCCTCCATGTCTGTACTGTCCCACACATGCCCTCTTTCCGGTGCAGAACTTCTTCCACAAACGGGCACGTTCCAAGCCGCACGGAACGAACGAGGAAGAGCAGGAGGAGGATGGAGAGCGGGGAGGAGTCCCCGAGAAGGGGAGACTAGGAGGAGAGGAGGGAAGGAGAGGAAGGATGGAGAGGTGAGAGGACGGGAGGGGATGAGAGGGAGAAAGGAGGGAGGACGATGAGGAGGGCGTGAGGTGGCGCCGCCAAGGGCGTCCAGGGGGATTTCCCCGGCGCGCTCACACCGCCGCTGAGCCTGGCGGGGGGAGGAGCGGGGCGGCTCTGATGCCTCCTCGTCTTCTACTCCGCCCCCCACCCCCGCCCCCCCTGCTGCCCATCCTCCTGGGAGGAGATCCGCTCGATGTATAAACAACGTCGTTTGACCGCCTACACGCCGAACTCATTCGCCGAACTCTGTGGCGCCCTGGACACCGGGCGCCTCCGACCTCCTCATGAGGCAACTCTTGGAGGTCTTCGCGGGAACGACTGAGGGCCGTCAGGGCCGATTGCAGGGTCACACGGCTGGATGAAAGCCAGATGGCAAGCCGAAGTAAGCGGGACTGAACTGGATTGAAACAAAAACTGCAGTAAGCGGGACTAGGACAAGGATCGGCCACAGACATACCAGGAGCTGCCGAGCCCTCCCTGCTCTATCCTCCTCCTCCTACTCGACCCTCCCTTCTCGGTCCTCGAGGTCCGAAGATCACGGTTCCGGGGGATGCTGCTGCCCCTTTCCGGCGGAGTGCCTCTGGAGTCCCATCGAGGACCTCTCGAGGTCCTTCTGGGAAACTCTTGGGGGTCCTTTGATCCAGTGCTCTGGTGGTCCTCTGAACCTCTTGGGGGTCCTTCTGGGAACCTCTTGGGGGTGCTTCCCAGTGTGCGCTGCCCCTCGAGAACCTCTCAAACTCTGTTGGGAACCTCTTGTGGGTCCCTTGATGCACAACGGGGGGGATGCTTCCCAGTGCCCGCTGGCCCTGCCTGGTTCCTTGTGGGGGGCCTCCTGGGCTGCTGCGGGCGCCTCAGGGGCTGCCCCGTCTAGTGCTCCTCCTGATGCTGCCACCCCTGCTGATTCACAGTGGGCTCCCCTCCTCATCGTTCTCGCCATCGTCCTCCTCCCCTCATCGTTATTCTCCTCCCTCTCTCCGCCTCACCACTGTTGTTTCACAACAGGCTCCCCCCCCTCGTCGTCCTTGCCATCGTCCTCCTCCCATCAGCATCCTTCTCCTCCCTCCCTCCGCCTCCCTGTCCCTGCCTCGCATCCTCCCTCTGCATCGGCCTCGGCCACCCTCAGCTCTCGTGTCAGAGATCGCTGGTCGATGAGGCCCCCCTCCACACACCTCATCCGGATCACTGCCGGCCGCGCAAAACGGCCCCAGAACGTCCAGACTCGGAAGCGATCTGCTCCGTTCCTGGAAAGACATGGGCATGAACTTTCGGAGAACCGCACGGACCTCCGGCAGCTCATGCTTATGCACAGGACTCTGGAGCTACACGAGGACCCTCGCGCCTCGCCATCGCTCGAACGTCCATTCCCCGTGCACTTGTCGATGTCGTGCGCTTGCTTCTGCAGAAGATGATTCAAGATGCTCTTCGCCGAAGGAATTGCGCGCGTCCGAGCAATGCCAGGGCGCACGGGCCATAGATCGTACTACAGGTCATCCAGCGCCGCGCGCCGCGCGAGAGGCGCGAGGCGCGAGGAACGCCTGTCTTCACGCCCCCTTCGCCGCAGCCCCGGAGGAAAGCGGCCATCCACAGAAGGCCGCGAGGGGTGGGGCGCGGCTATCTTCGAGCGCCCAATGGTAAGCAAGGCACCCCGAGGACGTGCACGCGGAGGAGCAGGATGGAGGAATGAGAATGAGGAAGGATGGGGGGGGCGGAAAAGAACGGGGGGGGGGTCGTGATTACGGAAGAGGTGCGTGGAGGCAGACGAAGGAGGGAGGGGAGCGAGGAAGGGAAGAGGGAAGCAGTGAGGGATGAGGGGAAGGAGCGAAGACAACGAAGCCCTGCTGCAAGGAATTGCGTTTTCGGGCGACGTTGCACGTCCAGAGCGCAGTCCCATTCCAGTCCTGTCGGTCTTGCGAGGGACGGCGTCCGAGACGACGAAGCATATTCGAGTTGCCATATGACGCCCTGGGGCCCACGGCGACCACCGACTTCCAAGAACGGTGCCCTGGATCGGACGGATTTCTATCGGGGCGCAGCTCGTGGGCGCTCGGCCCACATGACCCCAGGAAAGCCTGTTGGAGGCCGCTTGCTGTCTTCAGAACAAGGGAAAGCTACATGGTAGCCAGGGTGGACCCCAAAAACTGTGTTTCTGACAGCCTACGCTGTGCAACCTATGGTGTACTCTATGTGGTGCCACCTACGCGGTGCAATCTATGAGGGGCAATACACGTTGTGCAACATTTGTGGAGCATTATGCGTGGTGCAATATATGGTGTGCGACCTATCGTGTGCCATTTATGGGGTGCAACAGGCGGGGTGCAACTTAGATGGTACAATGTACGCGGCGCAACACACGCAAATCAATAGACGTGGTACATCCAGGTGGAGCAATCTACGTGGTGCAAGATGTGGTGTGCAATAACGGTTGTGCAATCCTTGTGGTACGTTCTACGTGGTGCAATCAATGTGGTGCGATCCGCGTGTTTTAATATACGCTCTGCAACCAATGTGGTGCAATGTCTTGTGGCGCCGTACTTCTAAAGCAACCTAGGTGGCCCAATGGATGTTGTGCAAACTACGCTGTACACGAAAGACGGCCCAATATGTGTGTTGCAACGTATATGTGCATTTCGCCCTGCCGAACTTGAATTTATCGGCCTCGCTGCTCGCGCAAGCACCCCACCCACCCATCAGCAACTTGGTTTTCAAAACCCATGCGGCGGCGATTACGATGACTGCGTGGCGCTCGCTGTCACATCGCTGTGGCCGCGCTAGCGCGCGCACGCTCGCGCGCAGGCTCCTGCGCAGGCTCGCGCGCAGAGCGGCCAACTAGTCTGGCGCGACCGACGCGGTCACGGTGGCGCTGACCGGTGGGCACTCCCCAGCGAGTATCGCAGGCCGCGCTGACGCGCGGGCACTTCAGTGCAAGTCGGTGACTCGGGCGGGTGCGGTATCTTGGCGACGTCGAAAACGGCAAACACGATGATGAGAGTAGCAGCGTTGGACACGACGATAGCAATGACGACGACAAGACCAATGTCGACGAAACTGCTGATCACGCAGATGACGTTGATGGTGTCCACGTGTCGCTGATGACGGTGTTGGAGTGATTTCGACATGCGCGCGCGGTCGACGCGCGCGAATGGCCAGCATGGTGCTATGTGACAGGGATCCCCCCTCCCCCAGCACGCGCGCACGAGCGTTTGAATAATTTCGACATGCGAGCGCGAAGAACCTGTTTGGTAGCAGTGGGTGAACATACTGAAAACAACCATGCTTCTTTCTGGTGAAAGATTCGCACCGACGCACAAACTTTTGGGTGAGAAGCATGTCGCGACACCAGTTGTGTTGCATATGTGTTTGGGCATTCGATTCTGAAATCCGTACGGCATCTAAGGTTCTTGGATGATTTCGGCATGCGCGCGACGACGCGCGCGAGTACAAATCGTTTAATGATGCAAGAGGTCCGTGTACATGGATGACCTGTGATAGACGAGTGCGCGCGCATATTTTTTTTCGACGAGGATGAAACAAGGGTTGTCGCTACTTGCCTGACTGGGACTATTTACATGTATATATACGTTTACATACATAAACATACACACAATAAACATATGTATATAGGTATACAGGTATACATAAACATATCTATATGTCTGCTGATCCGGCGTGTGAACTACAAGGAGCCTCATCAAAAGCTTCAACTCTGAGCCTAAGCAAGAGCTTCAGCTCTGTTTGGGGGGGTCGCCGGGGTGGCTCTGCTGGGGAAGGGAGGGGGGGGGGTCCTCCATGTGGCGTTTTCTTAATGGTGTGCGCATCCCCAAGCTGTTTCGGGGGGTACCAAGGGGAAGGGGGGGAAGGGGGAGGGGCGGTCCCCCATCTTACGTTTTCTTAATGATGTGCGCATCCCCAAAATGTTTCGGGGGGTCCCCGGGACCCCCCTCACATCTGGCCGCCACCGCCCCCAGGAACCTCCCCTCGGAAACATCCCCGGATCCCCCCTGGGACCGCTCCAGGCACCCCCCAAGAGGGCACGTCAGCTCCAAAAAGCGCGCCCTCCCAAACAACGTCCCCGACGACTCCAAAATCACCGAATCCGGAGCCACCTGGATCGGCGGCACTGACCGGAGGCCATTACAATACACATATATATATATATATATATATATATTCTACACACATGTGTATATATATATATATATAGATATAATGAAATTGACGCCAGGGCAGAACCATATGTAAACTGCCAGCCCAGGGGGGTCCGATAACCACGGGGGGGTAGATCCCACTTCATTTTAAGAAACAACAATCAATGAGGCGCAAACTACGTGGTGACTCTATGTGGTGCGCAACTAATGTGAAACAGTCTACGGAGCGGCGGCAGCGACCAAGGAGCCCGCCGCCACGCCAGCCCAAGCGACGGGCGGCGACGGGCGGCGACGGCGACCACGGAGCCGCCAGACCGCCACGCAGGCCCAGGCGACGGGCGGCGACGAGGTGGCGACGGGGCGGCGACGGCGACCACGGAACGACCAGACCGCCACGCAGACCAGTTTCCTTGGACGGCAACAAGGAACCTGTAACTACATGCAGCGTTTGGGAAATGACCACCGTAGAGCTCCAGTGTGACAAGTGGTCGCTGCTCACTTGAGAACTGCACAACGCCCAGATGACGCTCATGCGGTCTGCAAGAATTGGTAGGCATTGCCTTGCATTGCCCTTGGCATCGTTTTGAATTGCGATTGGCCTTGCTATGCATTGCAGCGACATCGCAAAGCAACGCGAATCATCGCGCAGCTACAATAAACGCGCAAACAGGCGAGAACATTGCAAAGCAATGCGCAACAACTCAAAGCACGAGGGAGGGGGGGGGAAACCCAAAGCAAAATAACTAAGGACGTTGCAGCAATGCAAAGCAATGTTGAACACAGCGTAGCAATGCAAAGCAATGCAAAACAATACAAACCAATGCGTATCACGGAGTAGCAGTGCAACGCGAAAAGCAATGCAAAGCAAAACACGCCAGGGTAATGCAAAGCAAGGCAAAACAACGCAAGGCAACGAAAAGCAGTGCACAGCACCATAACGAAC